TTGACTAATAAATAATTGATAGAGCAATTAGAAAATAGTCTACTTTATTGAATACAATTTATTAGGTAAAATGATAAATTAATTTAAATTTGACAAGGTGATAACTGATATCCTTGCAAAGAAGATAGAAAAGATTAAAGTATGACAAAAAATAAAAATAAATTTCTCTCTTTTTTTGTAAATAAAAACTATATTAAGTGATAAAATGAATCATTTTAATTATTTTTTGTGTTAAAATTTGCAAATAATTTTGTCTAAAAAGTTCAATTTATAAACCAATGATATTAATTAGCTTTTACATCGAAGATTAACAAATAATTTTATTCTTAAATAATAAAAATTGTTTATATTATTATTTGTATTCATGGACGTATATTATAATTAAATGTAATAAATAAATTTTAAAAAAAGTGGCAAATTTCTAAAGGAAAAAGTGTAAATAAAAAAAAAAAAAAAGTTTAAATCAATAATTTAGGAAATTATGGGAAATTGACAGAGATCAATTACATAAGCAAAATAAAAGTATTAGCATATCAGAGGCAGAAAATTATAAGATCAAACTTGCAAGTGATGCATTCCGTTGGTATGAAAATGAATTAGGAATTGAAATCAAAAAACCGGTAATGACGGATACAAAATGGAATATTTGGGGTGGTGTTTATTACTCTGCTAGTTTATATACTACTATTGGTAAGTCTTACATAAGTATTTAATTATTACTCTTTATTAGTATTTAATTATTACTTAAATTCATTAATGTCTTATAAATTCTTAAACGTTGATAATTCATCGAATTATATTCAAAAATTTGTAATTGTTTCTTAAATCCTATTAAAATTTTGCAATTATTGCACAAATTCTTATCCATTGATAATTCAAGAACTCTATTAAAAATTTTTAATCATTTTTTAAATTCTCCAATTTGGTTAAAAAAAATTTTTTTTAAAAACAATTTTTTCAAATTAAAAAAATTTTCAAGTGCACCGCAAAATTGATAGTCATTTGAAATTTTATAAAATCATTTCCATATTTCCATACATCAAAAGTTCGAAAATTTTGTTAAAAAAAATTTTTTTTTTAGTTTTTTATAAATTAAGCAATAAATTTGAAATCATTCAATTGATTGATTAATTTTTATTGTTCGACTAAAATTGTTGTCTTTAAATTTGAAAAAACAAACTTCATTTTTACAATTTAAAATATGGTAAATTAATATGATTAAAATATATGAACAATTAGCACTGAATGTTTTTTTTTTTTTTTTTTTGAGTTATTTTAATTAAATATTGCAGATGAACTCCACATGTGCTACATAATAATATTGCACAGAATTATTCAATAATTGAATTCAAATATTTCAAAGAAATTTTTCCTCGTAGATTATACATTGTTTATTTTAATTAAATATTTAGAAAAGAAAATGTTTTTATTACATGCATGATCTTATATAATTTTTTATGTGATTGAAATTTATGCAACAATTTTCTTTTTAGGTTATGGAAATTTTTTTCCTGTGACACCTGCTGGTCGTATAATATCGATGATTTATGCATTTTGTGGTATACCATTAGTTTTTACAATTCTTTTGGAATGGGGTTTCTTGTACTACACCTGGTTGGATATGTTTTGGAAATGGTTCAATGTTAAATTATGTTCAAGTGCAATGAAAAAACATCATAAAAAACGTCTTGCAAAAGAAAAGTTCATTTTCTTTCTTTTTTTTTTTTTTTGCGGAATAAATTCGAATGAAAGAATTTAATTTATATTTTTTTTTAATGGAAATTTTGGATAAAATAACTTCAAACAGTTGAATTAATAAAAAATAAAAATAATCAATGTTATGTATATTTAAAAAAAATATTTATTATAAAAGAATTGGTACTATATTTGAAATCATCTATTATTTAAATGAAATTGTTTCTATCTGCCTTTAGAAAGACAAAAGGGACCATAATATGCGCTTTTAATGACAATAACTAATAATAATAATCGTGACAATAATAATAGTATAATAGTAATAAGAAATGATAATGATAATAGATGGTAATAATAATGATAATAAGAAGTGATAATAATAGTAACAACAATAATAATAATAATGATGATAATAATGACAATAATAATAATAGCAATAACAAAAATATGTATAGGTGTAAAATAAAAGAAGAAAAGTCGCATTTGTTTTTTTAGAAGTCGTCGTGCTGGAAGTGACTTATCACTTAGATTGACATCACTTGGGCCATTAACTCAATTATCACATAAACATGATGATCTTCACCATACTGATCATCAGGTAAGTTTATATGTTATTTCATGACGTATCTTTCCATACTATCTTTTCTGTGATCATCAATGAAAACTTTTATTTTTAGTAGAATTTATTTGTTTTAAAAAAAAAATACATATATTTTATGATATTCGTTTTCATTTCAGTTTGAAATTAATTTTTTAATTTCTTTCTTAAAAAAATAAATTTAATATGTCTAATAATTGAGTTTTAGATAGAAAGTGGTAAAAAAATATCACAGTTACCAATTGAACTTAGCGAAGTCGAGAAACAGCGTACTGTACCACTTAAGGCTGCATTCATATTTTTCTTCTTGTGGATTTTAATTAGCGCTTTTGTTGTACGCCTCTGGGAAACTAATTGGACTTATTTTACTGCTTATTATTACTTCTTCACATCACTTACTACAATTGGTTCATATTTCAGAAAATAGAACTTTGAAAAACGAACTTCAAAAAGAAAAAAAAAAAAGAAAAGGAAACTTATCACTCATTATGAGAAGTTAAAAATGAAGAAAATTTCACAGATGTGAGAGTATTAAGAAGTAAACAGATGTTTAAAAGAAATGAAGAAATCTTGCTTATGGAATATATAAAATTAATGATTAAAAGTGTTAGAAACTAATCAAAGCATAAAATGATAATTTTATATTAAAAAAATAACAATACATATTCACAAATGAGTTTTAGGACTTGGTGATGTCGTTACAGAGACACCAAATTATATTATTTTTAATTTGGCTCTTACAATGATAGGTCTTTCCGTGGTTGGCTTATGTGTTTCCATTGTACAGGTAGGTCATTCTTCAACTGCCCATTTTAATCAATATTTGAAAAACTTCTTCTAAAATTTATTTAATCATTCTAGTCTTCATAAATGTGCTTATCTGTGCATCTTTTCTCCTTTCTCTTTTTTCTTAATATACATATAACATACCCATTTCCTATATACCTATTTCCATTTTTTCTTAATAGAAATAGGTATTTGAGGAAAATTTTGCAACAGAAAACTTTGTTGTTACAAATTTTTGGAAAACATCTTCTAACATTCTGCCTAGGGTTTGTTATTACAGGCAAAAATTCGTCTAATCTTTGATCGAATGATTCGTTCAATCGATAGCCAATATCGAATAAGACAGATCGATCCGGATGTCGCAACGATGACTGTAATACCGGATGAGAAGGAAGGCGTTAAACGGTTATCTGCATATTGTATATGTACAATCATTTCGCTTTCTGACAAAATCTTAGGTTAAATGTAACAAAAATATTTTGCGAGGAAAATGTTTTCATCTTTGAAAGATTGAGCGCATTTTGCGAAAGAAATTGATTGATTTTGCAGTGCATCTGATAAGTGGTTGATATTTATAAATTATCATAAAAGATCGATTATGTAATTGAAAAAATGACAAAGACAAAAGAAATTATACATTCCAAACAGATCAATATGAAATTATAAAATTAACGAAATTTGAGGCTTTGTGAAGCACAACCAATACAAGACCGTCTTATTTACATAGCAATGGATGAGCATAAAAAGCAACTTCTTGAAGACAGATGGCGACAAAGAAGCTCTATGGTAAACAGGTTAGTCTTCTGATAAAAACTAAATCATAAAAATACCCTACTTCTTTTCAATCTTATTAGAACTGCTTTTCTGCGCCCATAAATTTCTTTTTTTTTTTTTTGACCTGCCTTAGTTTGTCAATCTTCGTCGCCAAAATTATAAGAACTTTATCCGTTGCAGTAGCACTAGCACTGTTATATTTAATAGTAAATTTTCACTCATAAAAAAAAACATTTAGATCGCAAAAATTCAAATAAGCTGACATCTTTTTAGGATAACCCAAACCAGGCCAAATCGTGCAGATAAATGCATTCAGACGGGTCAAAGAGTTGATGAACAACCACCAGTACGATTGGAAAGATATGATGATTGCAAAAGTGGAAGTAGTACATTATCGGATGAGGATGTAACTGATTATGACCCTATCACTGGAAGACGACTTGTAGCACCGAGCGCACGCCGATATATATATACGGTTTTTGACTGAATATCCTAGTATTTTCATGCTCACATGTACTATTCATGAATGATTAGAGCAACTTGCCATACTGCTCACAAAAAGATGTTTGTTTTCTTGTTTTTTTTTCCTTTTTTTAAAAGTGTATAGTAATAAACATACGGATAAAATGTAGTACAGAATGTATGTTATGTAGTATTACATGCCAACGGCCAACGTACCAACATAGCATTTAAAAATACTATACAACATGATTTAAGCATTGTGATGCTTAATCAAGAAAAACATAATTTTATGATAATAAGTTCTGGTAATACTATTCCTTACTTATTCAAAAAAGTAACTGATAAGATTTAAAAAAAAAAAATTTTGCTTAAAATTACGAAAGCCTAAATTCCATAACATCAGATATCATTATCGATGGTCAGTTTCCATACACTAATCAGGAACTGGGGATGGATGTAATACATCTGCACATTGTTGAAGCGTTATTTCATCAATCTGAAAATTTGTTTTTCTTAATATTATTCTCAATTGATTATATTCATTACTAAAATTCATCAACATTGTCAGATGAGATCGAAAAATCTCTCAGAACATTGACATTTAATATGGAATAATCTGCATTCTAACAGTCAGTGGTAAGTTCTGAACTATCATAAACTTATCACAGAATAGAAAAAATTGAAATCATGTAAGTCTAGTTGATAAATAATAGTCGAAACAAGCACTAAACTTGAAATGTGCTAAGCTAGTTTTTTCTGCTGATTTGGACTGAGCGACTGGAATTGCTTTTGATATCTGATTCATAACATAAGTCGAAGTAGATGGCTGAAGTGAATCATCAACAGCTTCAACATCATTCACGAATTCTGACAGAATAGTTGCACTCTTATTTGGAGAATGCACTAGAAAATATTTTAAGTTCCATTTATAGCAAAATAATCATTAATTTTAATTCCAAATTTCATCTTACCTTTTTTGCACTTGCATGAAGTTAAACTACCGCCAAACTTTCTTCTCTTCACAAATATCCATAAACCAAACTATTCAAACAATAGTTATTTTGCATTTAGCAATTATGTTGCTTTCTTTCTCACTGTCGGTAAAGAAGCAAAAAATATATAATAACCTTCTTCTAACTCATCCTCTTTTTCAAATAATTCTATGAGGGCTTGCAATCTAGGATTAGGATTAAATCTAGGTTCTTCTTGTTTATCAGTTTCATTAGTTCCATGTTTGTTGCTACGCATTACAATGTTGGTAATTTTAGATCCTTCATGCTTATCAACTTCATTAGTTCCATGTCTGTTGTTACGCATTACCAACATTGCCTGTAAGCAGTTTTAACTAAGTTCTAAAGTTACATTAATTACAACAAATGGTTTATACTAAAACAGCATCGAACATAGTACCGATGATTTCTGGAATAATTTTCTAGTAGTCCTGTATCTCCAATCTATACGATTTAAACCATGACTGCTGTGCCAAAAAATTCCAGTTTTTTTCCTAGTTTTATGTCGATTCTTGGCTCGTTGACAAATTTCACAAGTTTTCCTTCGCATCAATCTTGTACCCCTAAAAGAATAATCAAAAATCATAAAATTAAAATGGTTGAAGATTCTTAACCGAAAATCCATGATTTTATAGGAATAAAATCTTGCAAAATCCACATTAACAGCACTCACACTAATTTTGTGAATAGTTCAAGAATGTAAGCATATCGTAAATTCCAATTCAATCATAAAACCGATAACCTCTCTTAAAAAAAAAATCCACACGTACAATAAGAACTCAAATCACAATATTACCGTTTGGTAGTAAAAATTCTCAAAACTCTTCCCCATTCAAAATTTGATTTTCCCACTTTAAATCTACCAACTTGCAGCACTATATTCATTTACCCATCACTGTTTCCTCAATCTCAATTTCATTAATGGAGATGATAAGTAGAGAAAAATCGTATCGCTTATAATTTAAATCTAAGTTCAAACATTATTTTAAAGAAAGATTACATCTTGGAAATAAATGAGTTGCTCATTAATATAGAAATGTAGTCATTAAAAAGTTTATTCGTGATTTTTTTTTATAATACCCAACAAAAAGAAACATATGATACATAATACCCAAATACAAATGAGGTAAACACAAACATAATAATAAACAGGTGAACTGGAAACTTATATAAAAGAAGACAGTTAAAACGAAATCAAGTTCCAAACAAGCAGATCGTACAGCAGTATGGAATTTTTACGGAAAGGTTTAATTATAAAAAGGAAGAAATCGAAACAGTAAATTACCGGCAAAAACAAATTTACTTTTTCCCAAAGTTTTAAGGGATAAAAACAACCTGAAAATCAAACATATTTAATTATTTTAATCCATTTACTGATTACCAAAAACGATTTTTAACAGTTCGACTTACTCATCTGATAGCATATAGCTAGTCTGAACCACTTATTTTTATTGCTGTATAAATATCTGCTACTTTACATTTGATTGTTTTGCGCAATCCACCGGAAAATTATTCACATTTACAGCAAATTATTACGGAAGAAAAACTGAATATTTAGGGTAGTATCAAAAGTGTGATGCTAAACTTGTTCCAACTTCATACATTCTTCGCAAGTAGTATTATTAGCGCTGATATGGAACGTGCGGAAGAGAGTTCGGTATGAAAGGTTTCAACATTAACTGCAATCTCATCTGTTAACGGAAAGTAAATTATCGATTGTGTCAAAAGAAAAAATAAATCAAAATATAAACTAGAGTGGTACCAAAACTAAGAAAAAGAATATTATCAGAAAATAAAGTTTTGAAAATAAGAAAATAAAAATTTTAGTAAATAATGCTAAAAAAATCATTTCGCAACTAATTTTGGTTTCAATGGCAATATAGGTGTTGGTCTATTGTTTTATATGCATTTTCTTTACATAAAATTATTTCCCTGCATCATTAGTTTAATTCATTTTCTTATTCATCCCAGCTTCCCTGTATAATTTTGAACCTGTTCCGCTCAACAAGTCATATGGTGATTAAGAAAATAAAAACCATGAAAAGGACCTACACGGTATGTTAAGAAGTAATCCGCTAAGCTGGTACGATTCTATCTTCAGTACTGAAGATAAGAACGATCGGCGATTAATCTCTGACATAGATCGAAATGTTTTGAGCATTACATCAGATACGGCTCCGCTAACGAAAATACCCCATCGATGTAGAATCTGGAGAGTTTAGATTCGAGATAAAGGTGAAAAGAGAGAAAACCGACAGATTCTATCAGTAGGCTTTGATACCACATAGTAAATCTCAAGAACAAAAGTTGAAGAGGAAAAATATAAAATATCTATAAGCAACATTCCTTGTCATTCATTATTAAATCATACAAAAGACAATTCACTGGAATGCATCTTAAGCTATTTTGATTATCGCATTTCTGACTTTTTTTCACTAAAAAAGTGTACTGACAGTCTTGACAGCATGGAAAATATGCGCTGCTTCATCTATTCGTCCTTCTGATAGTCGCGTGAATAAAGCTATATGAATAATTTGTGGATTGAGAGCAAGTAACGCAGCAAAATTGTGAAGTGCCCATCTGTTAGGAACCACTGAAAAATGCTAAACTGAATATTTTGGAAGATCCCGTTTAGTTCATGATGAACATTTTAGTGGTAAAACATGACAATTCCGTTGGGAAAGAGTTAGTGGAACACTAACTCGATATTTCCTCCATTAAAATGGAAAGTTGGTTATCAGTCCACGCATAGCACCCAAGATTTGAAGTGGTCATCAGGTGATGAATGCCATGCGCTATCGAGCCTAGTAATTTTTTACATATGTGCTGCACATTAATAGTTTCGTTACATAACACTTCCCAATCGATGGTCTCTGCAATTTTTTTCTTTTTTACAATACAACATAAACTACTGTACAAAGCAAATAAAATCAGTGCAAAAATATTTTTTACTAGATTGTCTAGTCTTACAAGAACTTCTGACTAAGTTCAGAAGAACTACAATTATGAAAAACACTTACCAATTCTGCTTAGAGTAATTTTTATCGGTCCGAACATAATCATAAACAATTTTCCTTGAAGTTCTGTTGTTTCTTGGGTGCGTAAAATGGCAGAAATCCAGAATCCATAATCCCTTTCATCTTTTGTTGTGTGTTCCAAAAACAAACTTTGAAGACGTTGTCGAACCTTGAAATTGTAAAGGAATGATTACAATCAATATTTTATATCATGTTCAGTAGAAACAGCAAAAAAAGTTTCTATATTATTAGTTACCAAAGGAACTTGGAATAGCAACAATCACTAGAAAAGACAACTAAGTAAACAAAAACAGATATCTGTTTCATATATCATTCACTTCTGTTCTATCTTCAATCAAATAGCTTTAAAATAAAATTTTACACCTCTATTTCTAGTAATGGATACTTCCCAACTTCTTCAGATAAAATTTTGGACAACAGTAGATCCGATTCAGTGGAATAGAGAATCATACTCATTAGCCGTTCACATTCGCGAAAATCCCATTTTTCGCAAAACTACAAGAAATAAATATAAAAAGATTTAATTTTGATAATCCTATCATTAATACACTTTCACTGTTAAGAAAATCATATCCATTATATTTTACTCCTTTTATGACCCCCTTATCAATCATTTATAAATATAAGAGATAATCCGATATCAGAAAAACCAATCATCATCATATAGTAATAAATATTGTTGTTTCAAATTTTATAATTACACTTTTCTCTTGAGATCAGTTCCAAACATACCGCCATGAAACATCGACCCCAACCAAACCAATTTGTGATGTTTTCATTCTGAAAAAATTTGAAAATTAATGAATTATTTGAAACAAAGTATTAACAAGAGAATGTGACAACAGCTTTCATAGTTCAGTAAGCATTACCTTGCAGTAGAAGCAAATTAAAAATGAACGGCGACTCTGAGAATCCATAACAATCGTGCTCGCCTTTAACAGCATACCTAAGAGATGTAACAGCAGTTCAGCAACAAAATAATATTCCGACAAATGGTTTTTAATTTTAGGAACTGACCCCATGTATAAAACGGGTCCATTTCAATGACATCATCTCCCATATATGCTATAGTTTCAATCAAAAATCTTCGACGCGCATTCTCCGTCAACAAATAGCGTCGAACTTCGCCGTTAAAGGTGCTCGATGTTAAACTAAGGAATAGTAATTGGTTAGCTGAAAAGTGCACAAAGAATGGATATATAAAATTTACAAATGCTGGCAAATGTAAATTTTTCCTTAAATCATTAACTGTAGCAGTATTCTATATATGATCAGAACTGCAAAGCATACGCTGCATATGAGCATTATGACAGCCTGAATGATTGAATGATCATATCTGTTATTAAACTTACTATTTTTAAAAAGAGTTAACATAAAATTAAAAAAGGTGAGAAAAAATGAACCACATATCCAATCAAAAAGGCTGAATAGCAATTCTCGTGGAAGTGCTCGAAACATCCCGAGAGGTGTTTCTTCATTAATCGTTCTGACTTGCATCTTATTCACATTTCGTACTGAATTGCTGCCATTAGTTTAAGAAATACACATTATAGCTTTCAATAAATAAGACATTAAGAAGCTATATGAGTGATGCAGATATAAAAGGAAGTTTTTGTGAATTTTGAAACAAAATGGCTCAGAGTGCTTGGCTGGCGAATATTTCGGGATCAATTGCTTGCAATTTGCCAGTAAAAATAAGGAAGTAAAAATAATAAAAAAAGAAAGCTTATTCTGACCAGGAATAAATTTCTGTTTGCGATGAAAGAAGTTGGTAATGCGACCATATGCGTTGATGCTATTCTGAACAAAATAAGATCACTAGTCAAATAACATCAAATAAACTATGTTCGTCTCATTCGATATCAATTCAATAACAATCTTTCAAAAGATGTTTTTTTTACAAGGATTTACAAAGACTTTTTTATAAAGTCTAGAAAAAAAAAATTGCAACAATATATTAAATCTATTTTGATACCTTTGACTAACTTCTCATGACAAATGAGAACTGTATGTCCAAAAACAGAAGATAAGGCTTCTTATCCTCCTTAAGTTTAAATATTTTACTGCGCTAAAATTAGTTTTACGCTTACCCTAGTTGGCTTTTGTGAACATTTTTTTCACGAAGATGAATTCCATATTTGCACTTTAAAAACTTTATCGTAGTTATGATATTCAATATGTGAGAGAATTAAAATGACTTTTACGGAGTCCTTAAATTTAAAGCCTCTAGTATTTGATCATTTTTGTATAATTTTTAGTATAAAGAGTAAACCACTAACTTATTAACTACTCATTAAGCAGATTCAAATTACTGATAATTCAGCTAACTGAACCCAATTAAACACATTTTTCTCGAGCTAGTTAAAATTTATTCACTACTAATTTATTGAAACAATAAAAGAAGCTGAGGATTATCACAGACAAAACTGATTCAAATATTTGTTAAGAATCCGAAGAAAAAATGAAAAATAAAATTTATTCTTATCACTGATTACATGTAATTAAAGTTGATTATAACGTTAACCATATATGTGCTGGATAATCTATTATAAGTAAGCCATTTTTCTTCACTACTATCTGCAAACCAAAAATCCTGCACATAACTGAACTGTGGTGTTAAAATTGTTCGTTGTATATTTCGATGCATTGCACTTTACTACCGGTTGATTTTCCTTTAGACACAGCCTAAAATAGTACAACTGAACGTTTTATCTGTGAAAATAATATTTGTTAGTGAAAATGAACATTTCATATCATTTATATTCAATATCATTGTTTATAAATTATCATTAAAAGGTGAATATTACGTGAAAAATTGTGTTTTAAATAAATTTATGCTTAATATTTATTAAATGTCTTATATATATATAGAAGAAAGCAAAGAGAAAAAGTGCATTTATATGATGTACTTATAGTAAATTTGAAATTTGTTTATTTCCGTTTGTTTATTTCAGGAATGAAATCTATAACATTTACGTGATCAGGTAGCAGAAGTAACATCATCAGCTAATGTATTAAGTAAAGAAACGAATACTTTAATGAAACGCTTGGTGGAATTATCGAACGATCAGGTTTCATCTATGATTGATTTTATAATTTTAAAATGCAGATACGTGCAGTACTGATAAAATAAATTATTATGCATTTAAGTTTCTTCTTAACATTTATTTATCCAATATAATACTATGTCATTTTTTAGAGGTATGCATCGACAATGAAAGTGCATCGGTGAACGACTCATAGGTGATTTAATTGGTATTTTAAATCGTTTACAAGTGGCACAAAGGAATGCAATTGTGAAAGAAAAGGAATGAATGAAAGCAGTAGCTGCTCAGGATCAACAAGTTAGCCATCAGGTAACTGCTGAGACATACTTAACTTCTAGTTTTAAGATTGGAATATTATATTTTAAAGAATGATAACCTATGATACATATTTCTAGAATATATGGAAATTTTTACTACAACTATCAATAATTAATTAATTAACGTCTTATTCAGCAATCTAAAAAAGTAAAAAGCAAAAGACAGTGCGACATATGCCCTGCCATATGGGAAGTAAAAAAAAGAGGAAAAAAAAGGGAAAAAAGTAAATTACTCCCAGCACTTCTCCCAAATAAACAATCATTATTTAATAACGTGCAATAGTGGAAAACTACGTGCAAAAATACGAACTACGTTCAGCAGTGCAAATTATGTGTAACAGTAAAAATTATATGTAACATAAAAGCTACGTGTAGTAATTAAAACTACGTGCAAAAATACGAACTACGTTCAGCAGTGCAAATTATGTGTAACAGTAAAAATTATATGTAACATAAAAGCTACGTGTAGTAATTAAAACTACGTGCAGCAATAGGACTATATATATAGCAGTGGAAAGTATTTCCAACAATGTAAATATTATATACAACGAAGTGTTTTTGTATTTTCAAACTTGTAATTAAAACTTATTAAAATTTTGTTCTTTTAATGTTAAAACAAAAATTTTATGTTTTCTTTAATAATTAGATGATAATTTTTTAAAAAAAAAGAAAGGGAAAAAAAGAAAGAAATACTAAAATGTAGGAGAAAAACTAAACTTTAACAACTAAATTTGAAATTGAAATTTTTGACAAATAATGAAATGAATTTAATATTCATAGTTATGACTGGTAAATATATTGGTAATTATTAAATAAACAAATGCATATGTAATTGTAAATAAGTTTCCTTATAAATAGGTTGCAACTAGTTATAAATAGATAGCAAATTAATGAGTAAGTTTATGTTAATAAAAAATGTTAGTAATAAGTGGATAAATTAGTAAACAAGTGAGCAATTAGTCTAGTGAATGAGAAATTTGTTATTAGATTAATAATAAATTAAGTAATAAGTTAACAAATTATATGAATGGATGAATTAATTAGTGAGAAGCAAATATGCGACTAGATCAATCTTTAAAAATAAATAATCAGTAATGAAAACAAAAATAAACAAGTAGACAGAGAGGTAAGTAAATAAGTTATCAGGAAGCATAGTAAGCCAGTTAGTAAATGAATAAGCAGTTAAGTAATTGAGTAAGCTAAGTAAAAAATTAGTTGAAATGTATGGTAAAACACCGGAGTATGTTTCATTTAGTGCTAAAATGGTGTCCAGAAAGATAACTTCGACTTTGTAGAAATCCTTCCAGTTAATTCTTTCAATCAAGCCGTAAAAAAAATTAGCCACGTTAACAAGAAAAAAAAAATTATAGTATTTATTTCATTTTAATTGCTGATATTCTTATACATGAATCATTTAAAAATTGCAAAAATTAATATCGAAACCATCTAATAGGTAGTATTTTTTTATATTTCAAATTCTTTCATCCAATTTTTCCGCCTGCTTGCTTGTGGCGTCTCAACAATTGGTGGTAGTGTATTTCTCCGAAAATTGTTCAGCTTATTATTGCGATTTAAAGCTAATGGTATATTTGATTTTCTAGAACTGCTCGGTTTAGCTGGATTCTTAGAACCGAATAATATCCTGAAATGGTAAGCTGTTTTCTGATTATTACAAATAATAAAGGTATTTTAGTAATTGGAGGACAGTATGTTTTTTCCCAAAATCGCAAACTTAATTATTGACACTTAAACTTAACGGTATATTTGATTTTCTGGAACAATCCGATTTTGAAGGATTCTTAGAGCCGGATGGAATCCTGAAAATGGTAAACTGTTTTCAGATTACAAATAATAGGATACTCTTATGGTATTTTAATAATTGGCAACAATATCTTTCATTCCTAAAATGTAGAATTATTGAAACTTAAACTAACGGTATATTTGATTTCTTGATATCAATCGATTTTATATGATTCTGAGAAGCGGATGGTAATCTGAAATGATAAACTGCTTTCTGGTTACTATAAAGAAATATTGATGCATATAAGAAAAATAATGTGCACTAAAATTATTTTATTTCTGACTTACATTTTTCGTAACACTGACAAACGACCAGCTGTTATAGGTGATAGATTTTGATCTTCAATCATTTTCAATCTTTTTGCTAAAATAAAAATTATAATTGCTAACAAAAAGAAGAAAAATTGATTGAATTAGACAGAAAACTTAATTTGTATTCATTTTAAAAGTTATTCCCTGTATATTCATTGACACATTTACATTAAAAACAAATAATTTGATTTTTGATAAGAAAGAAGGAAATTTAATTGATTGAAAAGTTTGAATCTTGGTACAAAAACGAGTAATTTTTTGAATAATTTGATCAGTTAAATTACATAAGTAGTAAATATGCTTTAAAATTATGCGTCATAAACTTTTCACTTAAATTATCCAATTTCTGTTCTCATTTTAACTGGATTTTACCGTGTACAGGAGATGCTAATAAGTTCATTTAGCGAATTAAATAACAAATAGCAAAATTATCTTAACTTAAAAAAAAAACACTCAAATTTAGGAATTATCTTGAAGTTTAAACCGAAATTTGAGTAAATATTAATTATTAAATAAAGAGTTTAATAAACTTTATCAATTTATCAAATAATTCAATTCAATAATTTCCAACCATTTTCTTTTTCAGCTCGTTCCTTTGCTAAATAATTAGCTTTCAGACGAGAAGCGCGAGTTTCCAGTGGTAATCTATTTGGTTTCTTCGGTGGATTAATCCGTCCTGTCGAATGAACTGAGCCCGAATTTTGTCTGATATTCAATTTTCGAACAACATCGGACTGGAATGCTTACTATAGGCTTAGGCTAAAATGATTATTGTCATGGTAGATAGATTTAGGTTAATGAGAGAGAAGAAAGAGAGAGAAATCAAAAAAAAAAAAAATCGAATGAATCAATATATATTAGTAATTAATTACTCAATAATTTGTTCTTATCATAAACTATTTGTTCAATTTATTTCTTAGTACTATTTTTTTATTTTATCTCATCATTGAAGCATGTTAAATATGTATGCAAATTTCTTATTTTTTTCCCCTAATATTTTGTTAAAATTATCATTTAAAAATTTTCTTTTGCTTTGTGCGATATTTTTGCGAGATTAATACTTAAAAAAAATTTTGATGCACTTTAAAATATGCAAAAGAAAAAAAAAAAAAAATATTAACAAAATGAATGTTTACTGTCATAATTGTTGGAGTTTTCAGAATTTCACGAACTGTTTTTGCTCGTATTGCAGCTCGTGTTGAAAATTTATTAGTTTGAGCGAGATTTTGCTTAGTCGAAGATGGACATGATTTTCGTCGCGGTGTTGATGATAAATAGTTGAAAAATTTAATTGGCTCATCCAAAAATGATCCTTAATGTTAGCCAATTTTTAACATTTAATTTTATTTACAAATAATATAAATATTTTATTAACAACAATTAATGACCAAAAAAAAAAAAAAATGGTATAAATATATATAAATAGAAATTATTTCAGGTTACGCAAATTTTCTGTGTCCGTTTTTTTTGAATTAGGTATTTTAGTAACAGAAATATTATTATTATAAGCAAAGGAAAACCACTGCAGTAGATCAATCAATACTTACTTTTGCCCATTATTGATTGTTCGTCAGTACTGTTTTTAAAAGAATTCATTGCTGTTAACGACTTATTGAATGAAGTATTTTCAGCTGTATTAATTTGATTTTCTCCATTTGGTGAACTTGAAATTATTATTTATTATTTCTTAATCACTAGACAAATAATTTCAATTAATAAATTAATGATTAGGATATTAGATCACGTGTCATTATAAATAAAGGATAAAAGACTATTAAGACATATAAGTTAGGAGAATAATAATAACAAAAATAATAAACTGGCAGATAATTGAATTGTAATTAACAATCTTCAAAATTTTTAAAATAAAAATTTTAAAAAAGATTTTTAAAAAATCGAAATTTATATAAATTATTAAAGAATATATTTTACAAAAAATATACAACAGTGTCTTCTTGCTATACCTGTTTAATTTGTCATCTACATTTTTGTCTGGTTCATTTTCATTTTTCTGATCTGTTTTTATAGATCTGGTTATGAATTCCTTTCCGATTGCATCTCTGAAACGAGAGTCGTTTGAGGAAAAGAAATATTATTCCAAATCATCGTGAAACTTCTCCTATATGCTTTTGAAAATTTTTTATTTTTTCAAAATATCATAATAAAAAATCCACGTCAGTGATTATACAAATCATTATGAGTGACTCTATTTTCTGTTTTAAAATTATTGTATAACTGAATCAATGTGTTTATTAGAATATTTTATTAATGGTACGTGCTTGACAAATTAGATTGCAAATTTATTTAAAAACTTTTTCTTCTATGAATATGTTACATATCTTAATGATTATACATCAAATCAACGTATAAGTTGCTCGAAAGCTATTTAGGGAATCGTTTTTAACGTTTATGATATAATCTTTTGTTACATCGCATGCATAACTGTATTTTACCATAAAATATACAAACAGAAAAATGTGGTACTTACGTTTGAAATTCTTTACTTTCTTTATAACGTTTTTCCAGATGATCCAAGTGATTTTCCAGGTAAAATTGCGTTTGATTATTCGCAGCAATACGCTCATCATTTACATTTGTCATTGGATCGGTAATTTCATTACTGATAATTAATTGTTTCTGTGATGCATTTTCAGCATCTATATTCGTTTCCAAATTTGCGTAATTTTTTCTGTCATACAAATATGTACTGCTTTCAGTTTGCATGGAATTATTGATATTTGGTAATGCCATCATAGCATTATTTTTAATTTCCTTAACGGCAGGACTTAGATTTAAATTTGCTGGTACAATCAACAAATATTTTTCCGATTGCTTTGTTGTTTTGGAAGAAATAAGATCTTGATTGTCAACTTCTTGAATTATAGTTTGTGATGGTCTGATACTATTCTGTAAGAGATTTAATCTATTATTTAACTCAATGATTAAAGCACGATTTTCTTCCGGTAAAGCACAATGATCATTTCGAATTGAATTGAATTCCGTTGCGTTAATGACCATCAAACTTTCCTTATTTTCATCAGAATGCTGTGAAAATTGTTGTTGCGTTATATTAGCGACAACAGAGATCTTTGGAATTGAAATATCGTTCTCAGGTAAGTTCGTAATATTCTTTGTATCAGTAGCATTCGTCGAAAAATTTAAGAAAGATGACTTAATTTCATCAACCTTCGAGACAGTTGACCGATTAATTTCATTATCAGTAAATATGCTCGTTTCAACGGTAGGAAATGAAAAATTAGCTGTGGTAATAACGTCATCGTTATCTGTTGAACAGTGTGAGTTGACAATATTTCCATTTCCATAAGCAATAATATTTTTTTCATTGATATCATTTGATCCAGAATTTGTTATTTCTGATGTTTTTTGGGTTTCTTTTGAAGATTTTGCATGAGGAATAGTGATGGTGAAGTTATTGTCTGGAAGTTCTCGACAGTCCATTATTCCGGAGAAAAGTGTAGTATCTTGTGCACAATTTACAGCTACTTCTTCGGAAGCAACAGAAAAGAATTTTTGCTTCATACTTTGAGGATTTCCTTCTGCATTAGACATTTCATTTTGATTCATTATACCGGGACAGTTATCATTCGGTGAAATATAAGTGCTCTTTTCAACATTGTTTACAGTAATAATTTTACTACCATAAGAGATGCCGGCAGTCAAAGAAGAAATAGTATCCGGGACGGGAAGCATGGCAATTTTTTCAGTCATAGTTAACTTTTGCTTCAAATTATCTTGAATTACCTGATTAGGTTTGTCCAATTCTTTCGTCATGTTTGGTGAGATACAGGCTAGTGTTTTATTCATGATATTATCATCATGAATTATCTGATTGGATACATTCATTACTTTCGTTGTATTAAAGGAAACAGCAACATTATTATGAATTACCTGATCAGGTTTATAAAATTGTTCCGGTATATTATGCGAAGTTTTTCTTTCATTCATGATATTATTATTTTGAATTACCTCGGCAGGTTTATCCAACTGTTCCTTTTTATTAAGCGGAGTATTTTTTTCTACGGTATATGTTTTATTCATATTATCTTCGAATGTTATTACATCCGGTTGTTGAATCATATCAGGCAAAATTTCCTGCTCATGATATTCGACATGCTTTACTGATGTGGCAACCTTAGAATTTGAAAAGAAATTACTTCTGTTCACAAAGGAAAGATAAAATATAGAAATAAAAAATATTGCAAAAAATTGGTACTTCTGAAGACTGTTGTATGGACGTATCACTGGCATTTCGTCTTGAAAGTCGCCTATCAGCGCCCGTTTCAGGATCCCAATTATAAATTTTGCATAGTTCTAAGGCAACTTGTCGAGCAACTTCCTCAACCGGTACATGAATAGGCTACAAAATATTATCATTGATTTTTTTCCCTTTTTTCGCGTGAATTATAATTCTTTTTATTTCATTCAAAAAATATTATAATCATATTTTCAAATAATATTCAATATGAGCAAAAAAAAAAAAAAAAAAAAAAGAAAAAATGCAATTCTCGAATAAGTATTTATCTAACTCGTTGGTTAAGAGCTATACGATATTCATATTGCCAATAAGTTTTGTTATTTACTATAATAAATAATAGATTATTATTATTATCGTTATTATTATTATGTTTTATCAAGTTCTACTACCTTATTTTGTAAGAAAAATAAAAGTTAAGTTAATTGAAATTCCTCTCAAAAATTAAAAACCAACATAAGAAATTGAATTATCAAAATCATGTGATGAATTTATAGTAAGCAATCGTTCATCTGCCCATTCTTCAGCCGCATGTAAAAGACTTGATATATCATCGCTAATATTCTTTCCATCTTCACCCATCTCAAATATAAATAATTTTATTTACAGAAGTTGTGTTGAAGCTATTTCATTTTAACATTTTGAAGTTTAGTTTTAATTTTTCAACAAAATAAATGCTACACTTTTTTCTATGTTTTAGGATTTCTTAATTATTGGATATTCAGAATAGAATTGAAATGATATCAAAGCTTCTAAAACCATCGACCAGAAAACAACAGAAGAGGTTAGGAATATTTATTGTCATATTAATATAATGAAATTTAAGCAGTTCAATAGAAATCATCATAATTCTGATAATTATAGTGATAGCCGTGCTGATAGTGATAGTAGTGATATTGATAGTCTAATTATGATAGCAGTGATCTTAAAAAGTGGAAATAGTGATAAATGAGCTTACTGATAAAAGTAGAGAGCTTTAGGGTAGCTAACCAATCACGTCGATCTAAGTGTTGCGCGCGTGTGGATTAAATTAGCAACCACACTTGTAAGATTTCGTTTGATAAAATGGTACTTTTCTGTAAAATTGCAGATTTTGTCTTAGTTTGAAAATGAAGTGAAATGAAAAATATAATTAGCAATGTTGATATAGAATCAGTGATATAATTATCAGCACGTTAAATATGCATATTATCATGCAGCTTGTTTATTATGTTGCGCATGCAGCATGCATTATTACAATCATTGCAAAATGCATATTACTTTCTTGATGTAATAATTCATTTCTTCTTTCTGTTTATGTTAAATTAATAACCCTTTTTTTCTTTCTGCGTGTCTTAAATCGATGGATAGGTTTCGGATAAATGTGATAGAAAATGCTGCAACAGTGTAACAATGTCTTATATCGAAAGGCGATTTACGATTGAAATGTGATTCTCAGTTTTTCCGGATGTGAGACCGGAATTCATACAATTTGTTGTGGTGTGGTACAAGGCATGAGGATGGTGTTTTTTATGTTATGATATATTTTAAATAATTGAAGAGTAAAGAATGAAGAGAAGAGAACAGAAGTGACTATTTTTCGAAGATCGATTAAGTTAAAGGATGAGAAAGAAATTGAAGTAGTGAGAAAGAAACATGCGGTGATTTCCATTGTTCTGGAGTGAAACAACAATGATTGTTAATAAATGCCAAATATAGATATGGAAAATATTGATTAATGATGAGGTAAACATGAAGAAGAAAATTATAAATTTAAATTATTAGAGACAAAATGATATAGATAGAAGTGTAAATTGTAGGGTTTTAATGATTAAGAAATAGATGATAAAAGAAGAAAGAAATAAAAAGATTTTAGTTCGAGATTTTCAAATTTTATATTTGAAAGAATATAATTAGAAGATCCTCTAATTCGGATTTTATTTCATATTTTCGAGTAATTATTGTAATACCATATTGCGACATATCGCAATATGACAGAAACACTGTCAAACACTGCTAATCATCAACGCATTGCGGAAATGTTCGTACATTTAACACCGCTTGGCGCTCGAGTACCATACAGGTAAAGAACATTTTTTTGTCAAAAGTCGAAATGAGTATTTCGAATATATTTCAAGTTTGAAAATTATTATCCTATTGTTTTCTATCCCCATTGTAGTGTTAATTTATTTATTGTTTGTTCCTTTAAAAGAAAAAAAAAATACTCAGCTTATCATGTAACATGTCACTACTGTATATATATTCTACAAGTCAACTGTTTATTTTGTTTTACTCGTTTTCACCTTTTTTATTTATGCCTGTTTTTTCAGTATTTCTCTTGATAATATGCGGAATATTTGGGTAGCAACCAAGGGAGGATTGTTCAAAATGGATCGATTCGGCGAATTGCTTTACCAGGAAAAAAATGATTTTACAAAAAAAGCTGAACCATTTTGTCAAGTGTCATTTTGTGAAGATAAGGTGTCATTTTCTTGCTAATATTATTAGATTTCTAGACATAACCTAATCAGTCATATAAGAACTGTTCATAGTGGTATATTTGAGAGCATCTAGTAGAGTTATGCCTTAACAGGTAATCATATGAATGATGTTTGTAAGCGTTGCTTCGTCAAAAAGCAATTCTTGGTCATCTTTGTTCCTTTTCAGATAATTTATGCTTATTCGGAATATATGTCAGGTTTAACGTTGCTCAAAGTAATGACACTGGATGGTGAAACGATCAGTGAACAATTTGTTGACGGTAAAATACAAAGTTTAAGCGTGAATGATAGCGGTGAAATGTTTTTGACTAAACGAGTAAAGGGCGAGGATTCCATTGTTTACAGGTATGTTAAAAAGCATTAGGGTTGCAATCCATCGTCTCATTGAAAATCTTTTTTTAAAAAAGTTGAAAATTTCCAGTTGTATTTGATTGTTTATAATTCACCTTTTGTAGTTCGGATATTTGTTGTCCAAGTTGTTGGAGTGAAGTGATCTGCGAAGATGAATACGTTTTCCAAACAGTATGTGCCTTACCCAGTGATCTTTTAGTCGTATCAACATGCACTTTACCTCTCAATATGTATTCTAGGTTATTTGTTTTATTATTTAAATGAATCGTTTTATATTATTATGTATGTTGGTTTACCATATTTTTGGTCACATGGAAAAACTTGGGGAAGTTTGTACTGACTTCGATGTTAAATCAGTTGTACTTTATATCAGCGATAATCATTTCATTTCATTTTCTTTTTTCTGTTTTGAGATGTTTTAAAAAATTACTTAAATTATTTAAAAACTCTTGGACGTGATGATAGGTAGCATTTATCTACATTACATTTTGTGGTGGGTTTAACCACCTGTAATAATTACATAATTCAGTATGCTATTATTTTGCAGACAATTCCTCCGACTAATCAATATAACAGAGGGTAGAGTGATCAAAAGTTTTAGTAAGGAAGGAAAAGAAGATGGACAAATTTTTTTTCCTCTTTCAATACAGAAGTTAGTTTGGTTTTTTTTTTTTGAATATGTTTCTTTCATTGACTTCCTTTCATAGTGATGAATTATCTTCATCTTCATAACAGGTATTAATCAGTGGATTAAAAGGCTAATATAGCGCATTAGACTACGCCACATCATTAATATCGGAGAATAGTCACTGTAGTTGTTTTTGGAAATGAATTCTTCACTCTTTAACTTTACTTTAAGATTTGTAATTCACTTGAACTCTTTGTCACTCTTAATTTTACGTTACAAACTGCCAAAAAAAAAAAAAAAAGAAAGAACAGGGACATAAATTTGCGTGTTAGCTAGTTTTACTGGTTTATTGCTTATTATATGGCTTAATACTACTGTATAATAACATCTTTCCAGATATGGCAATGATATTCTTGTTCTGGATAAAACAGGTCGGATACAGCAGTTTACTCAAGATGGAGAGTTTGTTCGCGTAGCTACAAAGATTGATGCATATTTAGGGAACGCCTTTGTTGTTGATGGAGATATGGCTCTTATAGCTTGCTCAGGAATTGTACTTGATAAAGTATGTTTACTTAAAAAGTTTAGTGCGTTCTACAGATGCTGTAAAGTTGCATTTATTTATTTATTGCATACTTAAATACCTTCGTGTTTAGTCAAAACACACTGTATCATTTTATTTAGTCGCATTCTGTATCATTTTATTATTATTTAGTGGTTTTGCTTATAGGATAACCAAAGCATTTGCGATGATTGGTTGGAAAAAGTTCCACTAGATGGTAGCAAGTGGTTACCTGATCCATTTGTTGATAAAAAGGAACAAAGTTTTATCCATAAGTCTCAAGTAAGCGATGAAGATAATAAAAAATAGCTTTATGGATCTGTTATTTATAATATTTTCACTTTTAGTGAACAAATGTGTAGAGTAATGTTTCTTTGCTGTATTTATGAAGGTTCCACTGGAGAGATGGTTACCCGATCCAAATTCGATAATGATAATAGCTTTTATATTCAGTCACTTTTATTTCCATGTTGAACAGGTGTGTTTATAAATTTGTTTAGTTTTAGTTCTTGTGAAATTTAAACATAGAATATGGTTACTGGCTATCCTTGCTTTATGTTTATTCATTTGTTTGTATCAGTTTACTATCAATTCGCTACATCAGTTAAATTTCTTTACTTTGTAACATATTTGCAATTTTAACCTCTTGAAGTACGAACCAGTTTATAAGTTTGGAAAAGTTCCTTACATCGGAATTTCATATTTTATTTCGAAAAATCATGCGATTTTATGTTACATATCTTCCATTTCTTATACTTTTAGTCGAGGTAATTGGTAATAAGTAATAAGATAGTAAATTTGCATAAGTATAGACTTCACCTCCAGTGTACTTTTATTTTTTACATAATTTACATACTGTTGCACTCTTGCATGTGATAGCCGTATTTATATTAGGTCATCATTTCACATATGTGTAGAACTAACTGCTAACTTTTACTTCCTAAACTAACTAACTATCTAATTGTGACAAAGGAATAACTACCTGATTATTTAAATGTCATCCGAGTAAACGTAATCTCTCATCATCTGGATGTGATGAGAATTGATATAATCGCTATATTGTATTAGTTTGGTGTAACTTAGTTCATTTCAATTTTGCTTCGAAATTTTAATAATTTGAATAATATTGCCATAGAAACAACAAAAGAAAAAACAAATTACAAAACAATATTGTCATCACGGCATCATTTTTCTTTTTTAAATGATCACTTTCTTGTTCACCAGTAAAATCATTCTTTGCTTTCTCTTTGTTCGTTCTGTTTTAAATCATTTCACTTTTTGTCATTCTTAGAATTTAATCATTCAATCTTTGTTTCGTCCGTTTGTCACGGTTTCACAGCACTTAGCAATAATGAATCCATATTAAGCTGACATTCGCATGATGTTGGAACTTGAATGTATTCATGGTGCCATTCTTGACATTTTTCGTTTCCATCATTACGTAATACTTTAAATGTAAGCGTACGCATGTAACATGAACCATGAGCTAAAATTAGTTTTTACTAAAATTTATATAACTTAGTTAAATGGAGAATATATATTTCAATCGAAAAAAGAAGGA